CACAGACTTCGAATGTCTGTCTCAGCTCACTCGAAGGCCGCGTGTCCATCAAACCAGTAGAGGCCAATCGACCGTTTGTGGTCCGCCTCTCGGGGAGATGGTTGTGGAAATGGAGTACCGATTTTTATATTTTCACGTACTTGCAATCAGTGAAAATTCCGTTTGGTCGTGTCTGCTATAAAGAACCGAACCGACATCTCCTAACAAAACTCGCGTCGGTTGTGAATGCTGCGTACAAGCTTTTAGTCGGGCCGTGCGATGACTCTTCAGCCACAAGCCTTGCTAGAGCTTTTTTTTTAAAGTTTGATTTTAAAAAATATTCTAGAATCGACAACGGATGAATTGATGTCGTTGGTGGAGTGAAAAAAAATATCAAGTCATCCGAAGTTTTACTTACTCGTCGAAACCACAAAATCAAGAGCCATTACAGAACCATTTCCCCTGCTAAGAAATTTATTTTACTGCTGTAAAAAAAATTGTGGCGATAGGAAAGAGGAACGGTAAGTGAGCAATATTAATCTATTCCCGTCATTCATCACCGCGTGCTCTCTCTCTCTCTCTCTCTCTCTCTCTCTCTCTCTCTCTCTCTCTCTCTCTCTCTCTCTCTCTCTCTCTCTCTCTCTCTATCCCCCTTTTCTTTTTCTCTCTCTCTCTCTCTCTCTCTCTCTCTCTCGCTCGCTCTCTCTCTCTCGCTCTCACACACACACACACACAACGCGCGCGCGCGCGTGTGTGTGTGTGTGTGTGAGAGAGAGAGAGGGGGGGGGGGGTTGAAAGTGCACGTGTACTCAGGCAGCATAACGAATAGATGTAACACGTGTGCACTAACATCATGTAGATTTCTCTATGCGAAAAATTCGCTCGCTCACTGCCGCTGATTACTTTGTTGGGGCCTATTCCGGAAGGGGATGAGGGGGGGGGGGGTAATCTTTTATTCTTACAGTGTTCAATGTTTGTTTAAAAAAAAAAGAGAAACAATACATGTATCAACAAGGCGCTACCTTAGGCGGACCCTCCATAGACGGCACACGGCACACAGCACACGGCACATGGCACGCGTGCGAAATACAATTAAACACAACCATTTAGAGTTGCACACTCCATTGACGGCACTACATAGCCACGACGAAGCGTTGCGTGCCTTGCTTTGCTGCATTGCTCGTTTTTTGTGTCGTGTGCTGCCAAAATGGGTGACTACAAGCAGAGGCGAAGCGTCTATATAATCAAATAATCACTGCTTCCCTTCCTAATGTTGAAACATTGTCGCAGTCAAATTCACCCATAGACGTAAACCTCATAAATTAAATGTAGAAAGACGTTCATAATCACCAATGAACAATAGACTATGCCTAACCTTCAAAACCGTTTCATTGCCACAGAAATAGCCTGTTCGCCCCTATCGGGCCACTCCATAAGCAGTCACAAGCTTTGATTAAGTAAGCTTAAAGTGAGGCTGGAAGAGTCAACCAATAGATTTGAAGGGAACATGTGCATAGCAGTCAATCGGGCCACAGTTATAAGCACCCAGACGCGCTGATTATCTAAGCGAACTATTACACTGGTCGAGTCTACCTCACAGATGTGAGGGGAACTAACTCCTTTGACTCCTGCTACTACACTGCTAGTGCTTGTTTTTTTCCTCGACTTATTAACGTCCTATAATCAGATCGTGACCTCGATTATGACAGCGGCTCCTGGCCGCGAAAAGTTAGACAAAAAACAGCCAAATGTGAAATAAATAATTAATAATTGGCGTGCTCTACCAAAGTGTTTCAGCTGTCTGGTATAACATGCCATTGTAGTGCTGACATCTGTGCTTCTTTCCTTGGTGTTCGTGTGTTCAAATCTAAAGTTAAATTTAAGGTTAGTTAGAATAAATATTTAATTAAATACTTTCCCGATTATTTTAGCGGTTGAACAAGCATACAACATGAATTCAGGATTTGTTTTCATTCACAACTCTGAGTTGCCGCCTCCAGTGCCAGTAAGATTCTTGTGACTTGTGTGAGTGTGATATCTCCAGGCCCTATCTGGTCCCATTTCACTTTGATTACCCTGTCAAACAAGTCAGCCTTCGCCCCTGACTACAAGACAGAAATTATTGAACTTGTGAAAGACCGACCGCTTCTTTGGGACCCCCAAAACCCGACTGGTTCCCGATAATTACAACCAATAGGTTGTAGACGAGGAAGCACTAGGTTCTTCAGTTCATCATACGTACTGTATGACATTCTTGGGTAGTCGAAGAACAATGTCTCATCTCTACATCTCATCAAGGAGCTGAAAGTTCGATGAAACTCTCCTCTACTACCCCTCAATGGAAAATGTTCTCTGCTCCACATGATCCCCTTTTTCGTCTTCTTTTTACGATTATTTAAAATTGCTAACATGATCAGAGTATCTTCATCAGACAAATCCATGGTTGTGATGTGTTGTGTTGTGATGTCGTGCTGTGGGCTATGGAGGGAGGGGTATTAGCCTGTGACATGGCACGTGCCAACAAGTCACATGCCGCGTGCCGTCTATCATGGAGGGTCCGCCTTAGAGTTACAAAGTTCTATCTATCAACTTTGGCTGGTTCGAGTTACTAAGTCAAAGGGGTCAGAATCCAAATTTAATGTTATATTACCAGCTCTGTGAAATCGTAAGATTATTCGGAGTCGTTATTAAGATATTCAAAGAAAGGCGATCGAAAAAGCTTGACGTGTTGTTATGAAAGTCAAAATGTTGACATCACATTTCTCAAAACCAGGTACTGAGCAGACAGAACTTTGTCATTCTAGGGTAGTGTAGGGACGGGGTTAATGTGTCGTGAAGTAAAATTGTTAATACTCATTCCAACCAGGCGGTTTTCGCTCTGACATTGCTAATTTTGAGGCGCTGATTACGAATACGTGCATGCCAATTAGATTTTAAATCCGAACTTTAGATTATTGCCGACTACACTTCTGTTGAACTCGCTTGAGTTGATCTTTTCCTCGGGTCCCAGCACCTCTTCTTCTTCAAATTAACTATGTCAGAGCGAAAACCGCCTGGTTGAAATGAGTATTAACAATTTTACTTCTTAAAAAAAAACCAACAAAATTTTAATTAATTCTTATTCCCGCCTTGCCTGGCTTTCACTGACCTTTTGGCGTTCTATTGTCCGACATCGAGGAAACAATGAGCTGGTGACCTCATTTAGACGGTAGCGTCAGTGGCAAAATCGCCAAGATAATTTTTTTAATACGCGTCACTGATACGAAAGAAACAAAAACAAACAAAATGACACTTCCTGGTTGTGTATCTAGTTTTCCCATGCAGTGAATACAATCGTTGTTACTTATTGATAAAGTTGTGGGAAACGACATCTTTGTGGCTTGCCCAGCAAAGGTCCACCGTACTTCATAGTCACAGTGTGCTATTTATTACCCGTCAGATCTTATATATTATGTAGTTTTGGAAGGCGAAAAACTGATAGAAATATTTAAGTGCTAAAAGGCTATACGTTTGTTTACAAGGGTGACCAAAACCCCCCCACAGCAACAAGGACTACGACAATGGCACACAGTCGGGAAATAAGTAAGCCAGTAGGCCAAATCTAAAAGGGTCGTTTCCAAACTGCCAGTTCGTTGGAGGACACCCACACCGAAGACGAACAGACGCATCTCTTCCTGACATCTGGGGAGTGTCTACATTGGTGGACATAATCTTCGGGGGAAATCAGCAAGCTTTCACTGAAGTGTGGGGCACTTGGGGGCAGGACGGTGTTTAAATAATTTACTTGAGCCCGAGGGGGCTCAGATCGTTCAGGTAAATGGGGCGCTCTGGCCACGCCGTTAAGGCAACATGTCTGACACGTGTGACATCACTTCCGCGACCTCTAATAGTTCATGTACCTGTATTATTATTATAAATGCATCCTCTCTGCACCAGGATCAAACGGTCTCACACCAGCTCTTTACCTGCAATGCACTTAACGATCTACCTGTAGTACCAGGTACATACCTATTTCCCTTCATGTCAAGTGCACTATAGACTGTACAGGAACAAAACGCAGCGGATAGAAACCTAAAAACGCTTTTGTCATATCGACAAGGCCGAAGGGCTCGAACTCGGAAAGATGCTGGATCTGATGAGTAAAGTGAAAGTACAATGTAAAGTACAGCAGCACTGCCCTGAATTACTTCAAAGACTCAGAGCTCACCTTCAAGGCAAAAATAGCGAAGACCATGCAATACAAAGTTTGACTAAAGAGAAGAATATTAATAAAGCAAAAAAAGACATTTTGAGCAAGGAAAAATCAAGACAGACAGCCAGAAACAACAGAGGGTAAGAACAGAAGTCTTGACTTAGGAGTACCAGGACATTACCATTGCACACTGACAATGTACATGCCGTCTACTTAGTGTAAGACTTTTTGTTTTTGTTTTAGTAAAGGTATTACGGCGCTCACAACTGCATAAGGTCATATGGATGCCAGAAGATTAGTAGAGGTGTTACAAGAGAGTAACAAACATAAAAAAGAAGAAGGGGAGATAAGGACGATAGATGTTTGATAGGAAAGAAGAAGCAAGCCACACCAGAGCACCCGCCAACCACCCACTAAGACTTTTCGGGGGGTAAGAATTTTACGGTACTTGCAACACAATAAAGTCATATGAGTGCCGAAGATTAGAGGCGTTACAAGAGCTGTTTTAGTAAGTGTTTTACGGCACTTACAAAACAATAAGGTCATATAAGTGCCGAAGATTAGAAGTGTTACAATTACAAGAGAGTAACAAACACAAAACAGAAGGAGGGGAGAGAAAGATGATAGATGTTTGATAGCAAAGAACGAGCAAACCACACCAGAGCACCCTGCAACCACCCACTGCAAGACTAACATACATCACTTTTCAAAACGGCTGATGACCAAGTCTTACACTTAACAGTCGATGACCTAGTCTTACACTTAACAGTCGATATGTACTCGTGTATGCACGCACACACCCACAAAAGCAGATCATGAGGTGAAAATGTTGAGTTTTTACACACATGTTTAATGTTTTTCCGTTCTCACAATAGACACTTAAAAAACAACAAAGCATGACATAAAGATCCAAAAATAAGTACATGTACAAATCAAATAAAGTCAGTGAAACTTTGGAAAATAATCATTATCCCCCCCCCCCCCCCACTACACTTTAAAAAGAAAGGGGAAAAAAAGAGAAAAAAAACCTTTACAGCTGCAGTGAACTCCCCTGCATAATAATAAAACCAACACAAAGAAAACATGAACAATCTGAGCAAACGTAGCAACAACAATTAAATATTGTTACTAAACAAGCCACTGGGTTTATGGCAACTTAAAAAATGAGATACAAATAGTGCAGAGTGGATGGGTCCCTGGGGCCAGACACACAAGGGTTTTCTTCCCCGTCAGTTTCCCCGACTTATTTCACAAAACCATGTCATGGCTGACACCACTGCCCCAGTGACCCACAACAATCTCAGGAACGACAAAAAAAAACCAAAAAGCAAAAACAACAAAACAAAACCCAACCCGCAAATAATGAAACATAACTCAATCATAAGTGCTTTTTTTTTGGTGTGACTTCCCTGAAACAGAGACGCAAAATGAATCTCAACACAATTTTGGTAAAAAACATCGAGATGACAAAAAAAAAAAAGCTGACTGCACCTGCTTTCACAGATCAACAAATCTCTTTGGCTCTGACCAGATGATTAAAAATTCTAAATCGCTATCACAATCTGCTTACTCTGAATATTCTTGCAAAATAAAAGTCTGGGGCGCGCACTTGACAAAAGAAACAACACTTAAAATCTGGACATAAAGCAGCATCCCATGGTGGGACAGATAAAAAGACACACAAGAAAATTCATTGAAAATGTTCAAAACCTTCAGAGTCTAAAAACTTTCCCTCTGCACGAGACCGCCTGTCGTGTGCGAACCCCAGCCCATTGTGAAACAAGGCTGCTCAAGCAAACAGTGCATAGGAAACAACAAAATTTTCAGTTCCTATCAGATTGCTTGTCAATTCACAAACTGACAAAGTTTTCGCACATTCTTCCAAGGAATATGAGTTGCTAAATCAAGAGATAAAGAAATAGATATATATAAAAGCAAAGTCAACATTGGTAAACTGGATCTTCCTCCCCTCCCAGCTGTTTAATCTCAAACCCACCGGGCTAACAATTTTGATCTAGATTTCTAGCATCAGTTCTCACTGACGACAACACCATCAACAACAACAACAACCGCTTCATCTTTGGCTTCAGCAAAACCAATGACCATTTCCTCCTCCTCAACATGAAAGTAAAATCCACAGAGAGTAGCAAACAAAGATTGTACATCATTAATAAATAGTTGAAGGACTGGCTGTTGTACATAAGCATTCAATTCAAAATCAAAGCTCTATGTCAAGTACCTTCAGGGCAAAATTCTCAATACAGACACAACACACCTGACTTAGTGTTCTGGACAAACACATACTCCATAGAACGACAACAAAAGTCAACAACCATGCAACGTAAGACAAAAACAATGTCATTTCCTCTTACACTTTTCCTGACAACACATTCAATCAAGAAAAACACAAGACAACTTTCCTCAACATCTGGCATTTATACAACTCGGAAGTGATCTCCTCACACTGATGGAGTCTCGGGCACACTATCAGCCGAGGGTCACACATAAAAATAAAACATGGCTCCAACAACATATGTCAGGTCTACAGACAACCACTTTTTGATTTTCTCCATCAATAGAACAGAGCCTGGAACAGAACAGTCCACAAACCTGCACTAGTTCACGATGAAAGAATTTCATTCACAGAAATATGAGGAGATAAAACAAATACAAAGGGCAAGGGAAAAAGAAATAATACAAAAAGGTGGTCATTTTGCAATGTACAATAGCTGCGGTATAAATAAATGTCCAGCCGCGACCCTGAAAAGATGTAAGATGACAGAATTTAGAAGAAATCACAAGGACGGCTCGTCAAAGACTGCGCTCCCAGGCTCTGCAGCATGAAGAGGTGGCCACTCTGAGACGAAAGACAGGCCAATGACGAGGGCAGGACACTTTCAGGCACAATGGAGAAAATGGTGGTCTACCTCGCAGCAACAGAACCACAGCCCTGCTCTGTGTGAGCCACCTACAGCCCGACAACAGAATCACTTGACCACATCTGTCTCAACAGAGCGTGAAGGGTAACAGACACGTAGAAGAGGGGAGATTGACAGCATCACACCAGTCTACCCCCGAGTGTCCGGAGTGAAGCGACCGGCCCCCATCCCCCATCCTGCCACAGAGCATACCCAGAAACATCCGACTCCACCTGGAGCTCTACTCAGCTCAGCAGGGAGAAATAGAGAGAACCAAAGGAAAAGATTCCGTCCCCATACACACAATCCAAAGGCAATTAAACTCAATTAAGTTTTTAAAAATGATGTGCGACCGACTGATAAGGAAATTTGTCCGTAGTCTATGAAGCCCTTCTGTTTCTTCTTTTTGTCACTTTCGTTTGCTTGGCCAAGGCAAGCCATTTACTAATGCTGAGACAACAGCCGAGGGGGAAGTCATGTGACCTCTCCGTGCCTGATGGACAGAGTTACTGGGATTTGCTCTTCTTTCCCTCCAGTTTGGTGTAGTATTCCTTGAACTGACGGTCAGTGCCAAAGATTTTGTCCCACCAGGTGAATGTGGAGGAGTAGTTGCCTGTGAAGTTGTAGTGGTGGAAGTCGTGGAACTTGGCACCTGAAATTAAACAGATAACATTGTCAGTTGTAAGAGTGGATAATGTTGAAGATTTATTTTTTGAGAGTAAGTTTTACTGCAGTTGTAAGACAAAAGGATCATATAAGAGCAGAAGATTAGGTGTTACTACAAAGTAACATAGCAAGAAAAGGAGGAGAGATAAATACCAAAGATATTTGATAAGAAAAAAAAATTGCAAACCACTTCAGAGTGCCAGACAGCCTCCCACTAACACTGTAAGTTGTGAAAACCAATGGTCGAACAAGATATTTGAAATTATATACATGTCGACAAACAATGGAGAAAACTTTACAAAGGTAAAACCTGTCACATTTGGTTATAAAAGTAACTTTAAGATACTGTGTAGACTTCGGTTAATACAAAACAATATATACTCCTCATAACAAGGGACATTCAAAACATTTCTACTGAAGGCACTCGTCTGTTTATCATACATGTTTTGAGTATTACTATCCCAGGAAACCTTGAAAAGCTAGAGATATACATTCATTCAACAAAAAAGAATGACCTTTCATGATGCTACATATGGACATAAAATAATATGTCATTCTCTTGAGTGGTGCACATTCTTCATTTCTATCTGTATTGCATAATCATGAATTAAATTCACACTGTCAGAGACCTCAAATTTTTCAAAGACATCAAAACCTTTTTTAAGCTCATCGCTAATAGTGACACTTTTGACTTAGCATAAAACTAATACTTTTGTTTACTGAAACCACTGAAATTTAGAATAACAACAGTACCCTGGTATTCTACGGCACAAAATTCAAAATAAAAACACTTTTCATACTAAAGAGCTCTTTCCAGTATTATTAGAAAGCAAAAGGGTTCACGTAACTACCTTAACCAACCGATATCACATATCAGAGACAGTTACGCAACAAAAAATTCTGAAAGTAGAATGGCACATCTACCATAACTGTTACTTGCCAGTGATTTAAAAAAAACCCATAGGTATGATATTTGCCCTCAGTGGCTTAGAGGAAAGGCAAATCTTACAACCTGTGACTAAACCAACACATCTGCATTGAAAACAGCACATTCCAGGCAGTTACACCACAACAAACACAAAACTCACCATAAGACTTGGTGACATGTGCAAACTGAGTAAGCGTAACTTGAACAAATCATTTAGTTGCGGTTTTTGTAAGATTTTTACAGTATTTGCAACACAAATAGATTATATAAGTGCCAAAGCTTACAGGTGTTACTAGAGAGTAACATACAAACAAAAGAAGGAGGAGAGATATAACTGACCATATTGATATTGGATAGGAAAGAAGGAACAAACCACACTAAAGTACCCAGCCTTCATCCATGCACAAACCATGTGACTCACCTCCATAGAAAGGAATCAAGTGGAAGACGTTCAGGTAGGGGATGTCGTAGCCGCTGTGAACGTCGATGGTCTCAAACAGACGCACGGTGACCCAGGCCCAGAGCAGTATCAAGTGGTTGGCCAAGAGCAAGATGCCAATGAAAAATCCCATGCCCAGGACTGGAGGGAGAGGGGGAAGCAAGGATGAATAAAAAGATTAGATAGGAAATCTCTAAAACGCTCAAAATATATATTTTAAAAATTGCACAGTCTTCACCAGACAAATTTAAACGCCTACAGTCCCTATAAACAACAAACAGCGATTATTTCACCCCCCCAGGCAATGGTACTGACTGAAGTGTCTTTAGGCCATTCCCAAAGTAGGGGACATTAACCATGTTCTTATGCATAGTAGGATTGTAATTGTAAATGTCATGCTCATAACAGTGCCTGAACTGCAACAGGGAACTGCTGCATTTTCTTTCCTAATCCTTACTATCGTCATTTTGTCCCCTACTTCTTTTGTATGTTTGTCACACTCTTGAGACCCGCTATTTCCGGGGTGCCTTGATAGTCGAAGCAGACTTTGTGCTGTTGAAGCTAGAGAGGTGAGCAGAGTAAGCCTGATTCCCTGTAATGACTTCTCTGTTGACATCCACCCATTGGCGCTCATATGACCTCATAATGCAGTTGCGAGCGCCGTAAAACCTCTACTGAAACATCCTTTTCGGTATTTATAAATTATATGTTTGGTACATATATATCATGTTAGTATGAAAAACACATATGTTGTTAACTGATGCTCAAGCCAGGCACCTCAAGTCCCCCCCCCCCTCCCCTCCCAAAAAGAATCTATGTCGTCATCAACTGACTGCAATTTCATCACAGGATAAGAGCCCTTTCTGTGCTTGATAATGTGCAAAGAGCACACTGACTTCCCTGGGACACATATCGACTATTTAGTGTAAGACTCTGCCATATACCATATTAAAAAGGGACGAATGATGGAATCTTACCCTGACCAGTCGAACAAAAGTCTATAAATGCAGCCAGCATGGACAAGCACAATAACATTGTCATTATAAGTATTGTTAAACACATCAACTTCCTAATCAAATACACTACTACAAATAGAATTGTCAAATCTTATATCTACAGAGAGCACATTTCAAATTCAAGACATTGTTTCTCTACCTGCCTATGCCTTTTAAAATTAGATTCCTGCAAAAAGTAGCCTACAGTAGTAAATCACAATCCTTGACAGACACAATTTCGTCAAACACACATGAACATACTTACTCAAAGTTTCCAAAGGATGAGCATACTCAGCTGTCATGCCAAATGGAGACTGAAACATTGAAAGTATAATTTATTACATGTAAACCATGTTAACTCACTACAGTAGCAATTCATACAACAAATTTTAAAAACCACCATAAAATAAATAAATTTGTTAAAAACCTGTCTGTTCAAATACACTGATTTAACACAGGATAGGGGGGGGGGTTGTCTCTGATATCAGAAATTGTCATCCACGTAAATGTACAGGGTCTCTTTATAAATAAACTCATTAGAAAGAGACAGTGTGTGCACTTCAACAGAGAAGGACACTCCACATGTTCTACAAGCCAGGCAAGTTGAAATGTTGCCACTGACACAGGGAACACAAACTTTAAGAGGAAATATGAGCACAGTAAAATATTCATAAATTTGTTGTATGGTCTGAAGAGCCTGAAGCTATTATCTATCTATCTATATCTATATCTATATCTATCTATCTATCTCTCTCTATATATATCTATATCTATCTATCTATCTATCTATCTATCTATCTCTCTCTCTCTCTCTCTCTCTCTCTCTCTCTCTCTCTCTCTCTCTCTCTCTCTCTCTCTCTCTCTCTCTCTCTCTCTCTCTCTCTCTCTCTCTCTCTCTCTCTCTCTCTCTCTCTCTATATATATATATATATATATATATATATATATATATGGTTGAAATATGATGTGCAGTACAAGATCTGGTATTTTCACACTTGCAGAATAGTGTTGTGGACTCCAAGATATGTATATATTTACAAGCTTACAGCATGGTGTGTTGCTACTGACATAGTACGACCACACATAAGTCACACCATGGAGTACATGACTAGGTATATACCTGGTAGTGGTGGTGGACCTTGTGGATGTGCTTGTAGATACGTTTATCGTGAAGTGCAGAGTGCAGGAAGTAGTGCCAAGTGTCCTCAATCACCGCACAGCCAAACACTCTCAACGCAAGGTTGTACCTGGCAAATAAACACAAAGGAATGAATCAACAACTCAATTACAGTCGAGTTTGAGGACGGAAAAAACAAATCGAAACATTAACAGTCATTTGTTTGCATTTTAAGTACAAAGAATAGTGTCCACACAATAATTACTTAGCCCAGGGAAAAAATAAAACAGACAAACGATAGCAACAGAGGGGAAAAAAAAAGAAAAAGGACCTACTACTGACACCCTCCAACCACAGCCAAGACTTTAGCTCTAATCAGAACAACAAACCACAACAGGATACAGCCTACAGTTATTTCTACAACATCATAGATGTTTGTAGTTCTAGTCAGAGCAAAGGAAAACTCCATAGACTGAATAGGCAATTAACACGACGGTTAAAGAGAGGTTATTACTGGTACAAGAATAAACAGTTCAATACAAACTTCCCTAAGCCAGATTTAAGACTTTTTTTTTAATGGTAGAGGGTTTTACGGCGGTCGCAACTGCATAAGGTCATATGAGCGCCAAGGGGTGGGTGTCAACAGAGAAGTCTTTACAGGGAATCAGACTTAGACTGCTCACCTCTCCAGCTTCAATAGCACAAGGTCTGCTTCCACTATCAAGGCACCCCAAAATAGCAGGTCACAAGAGAGTGATTTAAACATACAAAAGAAGTAGAGATAAAAAAGGACAATAATAAGGATCAGGATAGAAAAAGCAGCAGTTCCCTGTTGTAGATCAGGCACAGTTATGAGAGTGACATGAGTCAGCCCATTTACAATTCTACTATGCTTGAACGAGAAATGTCCCCCTTTAGGGAATGGCCTAAAGACACTACAGTCAGTGGCACTGCCCCGGGGGGTCAGATTCAAGACTAGGTATCTAAAATAAAATAAACAAAACAAAAAAACCCCACTTACAAATGAATGAACACTTTGGGAGCTGCAGAAAAACAAAAATGAAAAGCAAACTTCTCCCCTCCCTCTTTTATAATTAACCAAAATAATAAGCAAGCTACACTGTACCTGATATATAGTTGTGAAAGGGGCAGCCATACCAGTGGTTTCTGCACAGCTTTTGGGACTCAATAAGGGATGCAAAGTCTCAGATAGAAAATATCCAGTAAGTGTTAGCCACCATCTTTTACTTTGTCATTTACAAACATCTAGCACTTCCCATCCCACCCCACCTCCGAACCCAGCACTCACCATGTTGGCATTTCCTCCCAGCCATAAGGGATGTTGAAGAACTCTGTGAAGACGTATGTGCCTGCAATCAGCGGAAGCTAAGAAAAACACAGAAACAGATAATGAAAACCCAGACATCTGTAGTAGTAGCCAGAGGTATCTGGAACAGTGGCATACTGGTTACAATATCATCAACACAAGAGACCTCCGAAAGGGTTTTCCTACAATACTACGGAAGGTTTCCACTATGGAATAAAGCAAATACGTGGAAATAAAAGTATTTAAGATGACTCATAAAAGGAATGATTCGTTACCATATGTGTACCATGTAGTCGAAGCATCATAAATAGTCAGTCTCAGCAGAGTCGCAACACCCCCAATCCTTTCACCTAAATGCAATCCCATCGCTGTTGAGTAATTCATCTTTTCCTATGGATTCAACCGGGTGCCCAAAGGACAAGAGTCAGGCTTAGCCCATCAAATTCCACTTCCCTCACCCCTCTACCTCCTCCCAAAAAGCAATGATCAGCCTCAATCAACTCATTCCAACTGAACACATCACTATCAGTCAAGACAAGACACTTGACCAAGTTGTCATCATTCACTTTATTCTACTTATTACGCTTTTCCTTCAGTCAAAGACTCTGGATGTGTCAGACAACTATTGTTGGGTGTGCACCTGATATGTTCACAATCAAACACAATGCCCTGTCACTGGGCGCTGCCTTGTATTCCCACCAACATCACAGCTTCTTAAATTCTGTATGGACTGTGGTCTTCCAGCCAAGAATATTAACTCCCACCACAGTCTGGTTAGTTGATGTAAACATGACAACTTAAAACCTTCATTTTGCCCAGCCCGCACATACAAAAGATAAAATTATTGCCTTTTATCAGTATCATACTATCGCAGCAATGGGACAAAAAGAGTTTAATAAGGTCGTTTGTTTCATGACGTCATTTGCAAAACAACAACAACAAAAAAAACCTCCATTTTTCAAGAACTGTATCATGGTACATTGTACAGCTTGAATATTTCTTTAATTTGAAACTCTGGTATTTTGCTGTAAAAATGTTGAATTTTTGCTGAAACTAATACTACGTAACATCTTTTCAAAACAAAGAAATGCTTAACTTTACCTGAATGCAAAAGTGATTGAACATCAAGAGCTTGAAACATTTCCACTGGCCATCAAACGTCTCAGGTCGATTCTGTGGACACAAACCTTGTATCAGAATTGTCAAGATCTTCTCAAACTTATATTACCTCTTTATTCTGCATCATTTGGGTTCACACAGTGCATACGACAAAAATCATTTTACTACTCAATGATGCTTTGCAAGCCTAGAATTTTAGTATTTTACATTTCGAATACTAGATATTACCTTACAAATCTGAAGTAAGGCTGAAAGACAGCAGAAAGGCAGTAAGGAGCCATGAGTAACAGTAGAAAGTCAGGAGTAAGGAAGGGAGGAAAGGGGGTGAGAGAGTGAAGAGGAAAGTAGATGGCAGGCAAACCAAACCTAGAGAACAGGAAAAAAAGACAAAGGAGAAAATTTTAGAGAAGAACATGTTCTCTTCCCGAGTAGTTTTCAGCCCAGTGAACTTTGGACTGAGAGGCACACATCACTTTAAAAGACAAGGACAGATTTCTCTATAACCAAACAAATATACACACTAATGAAACCAAACTTCTCCTATAGGTAGGGCAATGCCCACTTTAGGTGTTGGTCAAGATTTCTGGAAACCCCCGAAATTTGGGTTAGCCAACTTGTTCCTTAAAAGCGACCATATCTCTGATACGGGGTGCCCACTACGGATGGGATCGGCTGATCGGGCCGATCGTCCGACTCGATCGCCTCAAAAACAAACCGTAAACGTGTATGGGCGATCGGCCCGATCCAGCTGTAGTGGGCATCCCGTATTAGTATTAGACCACGAGAGCCCCGACATTTCAGTTGAGTCGGCATTTTTGCACACAAATTATAATGTTTAAGCCTAAACGTTATTTAAAAAACAACAAAATGCTTTCTTCTTCTTAAATTTCCCAATATAATTGTGTGCACTTTTCTAGCAGATATAATCATAATAATCTAAAAGCTATAGAACCAATAGTTCAGTAAGTTAATACAGATCTGCAATCAAAAGCATTTAGTTTCTATATTTATAGAATGTTTTTCAACTTTCATGAACCAGAAGAACTCAAAATTATTTAAACTTTTCATTAATTTTACCTCTTGGATTTTGAATCGGCGCATGAAAGGCATAAACTGAAACAGGATTCCCGGCAGGCAGGCAGCAAAATACACCAGCTGAAACAAATGCGGAAAAAACCCCAGAACAATGAAGCAAGTAAAATACAGAGATAATAATGACATGATATTAGATACACCTGAAAATTTCTCCAACACAATTTGAACTTTTAAGCATTTGTATCAAATCCTGAAATTAACTTACTGACTGCCATTACCCACACTGTGCCACTAAGATCCAGGCATTAAAAGAAACACTGGATCCGCACCCCTGTCCGTTTCCATTTCTTCGGTGCTTGTTTGCACTATTCACTGACCAGCAGTTGTGGAGAAGGAAGCCATGCTATTTCATGTCTGTTTAATTTGGTAGTTGTATCCCAAAATTTTAACTCAAATCAAATGTGAAGTCAGTCCGGTTGTATGGATGTGAGACATGGTACGCATCTCAGACATGATATATATATAAAGAGGATCCAGGTTTTCTAGAACAAGTGTCTGAGGACCAGATGGACAGACAGGATCACCAATGAGGAAATATTAAGAAAAACAAGACAGAGCCCAGTCAGCGATGAGGCGGGAAGAAGGCGTTGGCGATGGATTGGACTGATTGGACATACTTTTAAGAAGTCAAGCAGCTGCACTGCAAGGAAAGGATTAGACTGGAACCCAAATGGTAAAAGATCAAGGGGAAGCCCCCATGTGAAACCTGGAGAAAAGTCACGGAAATGGATGAACAAAAAAGTGGGAAGACATATAGTGACATCAAGTCATCAAGCGATTCGCCCAGTATCTATATAGGGAAAGGTGGAAAGTGTTTGTTCATATGGCCTATATCCTGATCCAGGGTGAAAAGGGCAATGATGATCCCTCAACTCTTTATCTCCAAGGGGGGTAAACCCATTACGCCAGGGCCCTTTTTGGTGTTAACTCTACAAATGATAAAAACGTCAATAAAAGAGTCATTAAATCGAAACTAGCAAAAACCTATTTTGATAGTTCTTCATCTAATGAATGAACTTCCAGTATAAGAGACCTGTTTTCGGCAATGGCCAAAAAGTAATTTGATGTCCAAGTGGTCGTAAAGGAATGTGCCAGAGCCACTGTCAGCTGCTCACTGGCAGAGTGGTTCTGACCACGAGCCACTGGGAGCGGCTTGCCGGAGATACAGAGTTAAAATACATCAATGAGTGTAACATTTTTGTGGGGTTGTCTGTTGGTGGTTTTTTTTTTTGGGGGGGGGGGGGGGGGCAGGTGAGATTCAACAGGTATTTTGTAGATCTGGCACAGCATTTCGCAATTTTAGGTTGTAGGCCCTACCAGACAGATCATCATCGTCCAGCCTATAATTGAAAAACACTCGTTTCTTTGGATTTTGATACTGAATTGAACAGCATTTACCAGATGCGGTCATAAAACTGACTGACAATACTTAAATCCCAATTATTCTGTTAAAAAGTGCTTTGTAAAGTTGCTTGCATTTCTATGAAGTCTTCCTCAACCACTGGCTTTTAGTAAACTCCTGAGTTTATGTAGTCCATATTTCAAAAATACACAGTCATAGCATAGTGAACGTAGTTTGCAGGCTCATGTTCACAGTGCCCTGAATGTAGTTTGCAATTTACGAATGATCTTGCTCACTTCACCCCCTACACTTTTCCCTTATTTTGCTTCTTTTTTTCACCCCCTCCCACCCGTCTTCCTGCCTTGGCCTTCTTTTAACCATTCTCACTTGTTTCTTCGAACGACTTTTATATTCAAATTGTCAAGCATTTCCGGGTCCGCACAGGGAAAGAGGATCAAAAGTCGTGTTCCGCACCCTGAGTGAGCAAGGCCTTGTCGAACATAGCTGTTTCGCTGAGCCCGCCTTCCCCTTCCATAACTCCGTAGCATTCGGATCACGCTGCATTATTTTTCACGCGAGTAGGCCTATTCTTGAGCTGTTTCCTCATTCACTTTGAGCAACCGTAGTGTTTTAGTCGTGCCTCTCTGTGCCAAAGGTGGATGATTCAGGGCGCCATGAACGTAGTAGATCTACTGCGTTTCAAATAGCAGAGAAGTAGGCCTACATGACACCTGTAGTAAAAATGTATCCTTTCAATGAAACGCAACATGATAAAAATGATAATAGAATCTAATCTAATAACCTAACAATTATTTGAGAAGAACTTCCGGAACGAGCAACCACCCCAACAAACACAATAGTACTAGGCTATACTATAGAGAAAGGTTAGAACTAACCTTGGCCCAACCCCTACCCCAAACCATGTCCATTAGAGTTGGGGCGAGCGGACGGACGGGTTCATTACTCGCGGACTCAGTCAGAGTGAACGGGTAATGGACGGCCATGAGAGCGAACTGCGAACCTCAAGACAGTTCGTTCTTTTTTAGTCCGCTCCACAATTTGACTCCTCAGCGAGCGGACTGCGGACCTCAAGCCAGTTCGTTTTTTTGGTCCACTCCACAATTTTATTCACTGGGCGGGCGGGCAAACGGACGAACTCTAGCAGACGAGATACTCGACACGAGATTAGACCCATCGTCTATTGTTGTTAATTAGGCCTAATGTTTCAAGCCACTAGCCTAGCGGTGCCACAGGGAGTGAGAGAGGCTGCGTAACCTTTCACCTCGTGCGTGGGGCACACTGTGTACGTTCCAATTATCGCAAAGGCCGGGGGCGGAAATTTCCGCCATGAACGTCTAGCTACAATGTGAGGCAAGATGGTGATTTTTTAATTAATTTTGGGGAGGCGGGGGGTTGTAAGTTGTAGGCAATGGAAGGATTCGCTCCCGTCCGTCCATCCGCTTGAATGCACGGTGTCTCTAGGTCCACCCGTCCGCTCGCTCGCTAAACGAACTGTTGTCTCTGTCTGATGTGTAGCGAGTAGCGAACTACTCTTCACAAACGGACGGTTCGTTACCTGTCTGTGTGCTGGTAGTGCCAGTGAGTAGTTCATTACTCGCGGACGCTAATTTTGCGAGGCCGATCCAACCCTAATGTCCATAACCCTCTATTCTACTGTGTTTCATAATAGTCGCTTGTTATGACATAAATATGAATTCCTCTCATTTATTTGTGCCTGCTTTGATTAAGCCTAGATCTAGAATCTAGATCTAGATCTAGTCCTAGACTTTAATAGAGAACTTTTGAAATTGATATAGATCTATAGATCTAGAATCTAGATATAATATACGGCAGCTCGGGGTGGGATTTCAACCCACGTAATGGCACGTATACTGCTGTTGGCTAGGGACTGTGGTAAACACATTTGGAATCATTCTAAACAGGAGATAAATAATGTCTATGTTCATGGCAAAGATTTAGTCTGAAAACGGGAAGATTGAAGAATACCGGACCACTCGTACATTATTGCGCGAGAAAGTGGGGCGGGTGGTTGGGGTGGAGGAGGGGGGAGGGGGTTTCAGGGGGGACCCCCCTGACAAAATTTTAATGAATAGATCTACCGGTCCGAGATTCTCCATTGAGAGAGATGTAATACGGGGAAATTATGAATTCCTAAGGTTGAGACATAGGCAAAGTCAGTCCGCTGGTCCGGTATTCTTCAATCTTACCCTGAAAACAAGCAAAGGTCGTCATTTATCCTGGTGACTGTAATGAGAAAGCTCAAAACTCAGAAAAACATTGGAAAATGAATAGAGGGCCTACGGAATTTTATACGTTTCCTCATTCTCACCTCGTGAACGATGAGAGAACCCCATGTTGCGATTTGGAACTTTGTGTAGTGCTTGTTCATGTAAGTCCAAGCTTCTGCAAACTGTTCTTTAATTGGATTTTCCGGTAAGTACTCCAAAAACTGCTCTGGCCTCAGAAACTGAGCAACGGTTTCGTTCTCCATGGTGCCTGCCAGTGATGCCAGCGACTGAAAGACTGAAAGAATAGGGGTTGGGTCAGGGTTGACTGAACTGAAGACTCTCGCTCAGCCCACACTTGCCAGTTAATTCGCAGAGTTGTCGTGGCAAAATAATAATCAGTGAACGTTTTTACATAATCATTGTTGGTTTTCTCCTGAAAATATCTATATTTCTCAGAAATAGTTTTAAAAAACCCAATAATAACAAGAATTTGTTAAAATGTATATTCTAATATAGCTTCAAACACTTCAAGTAATAAATTGATGAAATCTTTTCGAGGTCCTACTTGGTAGCTTGTTATATCACCAGAAGAGCAGCTGATTTATGCGTCACTGAGGGAATCCTTGCTGGAATAAATTCTGATCAATGATTGGCTGGCTGTCCATGGTGCGATGTCCCTCGACCTAGATAAATTTCGCAGTGTGTGATACCGATCACGTAAGGGGATAGGAATAATAGCCCTTTTAAAACCTGATCTTTCTCTTTCTCCCTTAAGTTTGCTATCAGCATGCGGTGAGAGGGTCTTTCAAATGAAGAGTAGCTGAAACCCTATTCCTCGGAAACGGCAAACCGCCATAAGCTTTGAATGAATGATCGACTGATTTCTCAGCTCCCCGAGTAGTGACAACGGGCCCGCCCAGTTTCATAACGTCGGTTCCACGTCGAGATTAGCGCGCCTACCCTCAGATCTAGGCCTGTGCCCCCAAAACCGTCGAAAATTGTTGTGTGTTGCAAGATTTTGTGAGACCCGGCTCCTGTTGAGAAATTTAGGTTGCGCTCAAAAGGACGTTAGCCCAGGCTAGAATCCTTTGCTATGCCAAATATTTTTTCCCCTCGGCCCGTGTTGAATCATGTTTTTTTAAAAAGCAAATTTTTAATGCGTAGTGTTTAATGTTACTGAAGATTCGTTACAGTGTCAAATTTATCATGAATTTAATACTGAACACCTTGCTGGTCTGGTGTTAGATAATAATATTTTTTAATGAAAAAAACCACCTTAATAAATGTGACAACTGTGTAAACTAACCTGACTAAAATGGCGATTATTATCCTTAAGCTCGTTAAGCGTAAATTATAAAATTAAGTGCTGTATATGTTAAAAATAACCCCAGGCCGCGATGCTCGGGCAAAGGAGGGTTGACTGGCTGACTTCGTGCATGTGTGGTATGTGCCACTTTAAATGATGACAACTGTTCATCTAGGCTAGTTTTGAGAGAGAGAGGGAAAAAAGAGGGGGGGGGGGGCAGCAGTGGGGGTTAAGGTCAGTACTATATTGGTTTCTGTAGGCCTACTTAATAATACTCACCTGAAAGTCATTAATCTGCACTCACCATTTTTGACAAACGAATATTCTCATTTCTCTCGGCATTCTCAGTGCCAATATCATCCCGAGCGGGTAAAGTCTTTATTTTTTCCGCCCACCCCTAGTTGGCTATGCGAGTATACCAGTTGACCTTTTTTCATTTTTTAAAAGAAATTATTGCTGACACATCACTTGGGGTTAATTTCAGCTTAATTTACGTAACTGTGTGGTCTACATTTCAACATGTTATCAGTCTGGTATCTCATCCGTGGAAATCGAAAGTCGTGACATGTGGCATGTAGGCCAGTGACGGTGGGAAGCGAAGGGCTCACGGGTTTTAACGCCCTCCCCATCCCTCAACTCTATCCCAAAGTAAATGAAAGTTTCTTAAATGACTAAATAAGCAACTGAAACCGTTATGACAGCAGGCAATGAACACAGAGTGATCAACTTGGTGGCTTGTTCGTTTATTCAATCACTGTTGTCACCGCTTACAACTATAGTAATCTAACAGCCAATCTTTACGGCTCAGCCAAGTATGAGCCCGTTCCCACGGACCTTCGTTAATGAAAATCTTCTTGTAAAAAAGGTAGAAGATTTGAAAAAAAACAACAACACTGTACTGAGGGCTCACGCTCTCCTAGTCCTGACAATGAGGTGAAAGTTTACGAGACACTTTCCCCCCTGAGACACAGTTACCTATGCGCTCATTGGACCTTTGTTAGGTGCGTCCTACTTTTCGCGAATACCCAGCCTTATTCAGTTCATAGATGGAAAGGGTTTGAAGTGCCGAGTGTACATTGTTTGCGTTTGTGCCGCTGAGATTTAACAGTACTCACTTTGAATCAGATGAAATTAGAAGAAATTCGGAGGTGAAACGGCTTGGTCCACACCTTCCAGAAAAATTTAACCTAATTAGAAAAAAGAGATTGAAGACAAAGGTGACTCTTCTCGTTTGAATGGTTCTCAAAATGCTGTGACTCTCCGTGAGTGTTGAAAAACCATCACTGTTTTGTACTTATTGCTTGTTATTTTGTGGTAAAGAGGTGGAAGCAACCGAGGCCCCACCCAAATTTTGGTCCACCCATCGCCGCTGATGCAGGCAGCTTGTTCAGGCAACTGCCGGGGTGTAATGTAGCTTTCTCATGAACCGTCGCAGAGAGAAAACATCTAGAGCGTGGGCGTTTGTATCAAAATTTAATGTAGAATAATTATGTGTTATAGGGTGCGGGGTGATGACGGTATTTTGCCGATTACGGAACAAGTTAAACCCAAAGTTTTGAGAGAGAGAGA